TCTTCTATTTTAATGAGCTATTTCAATTAACTGTTTTTAACACATATTTTAGAACATTTTATCACGCCATTAGTTTTCATGCGTCCTACTGGCTAGTTTTACACTATGCTAATTTACAGTCGCACCTCCAACGTTTAAAACCATAGCGTATATATTTTATCGTCCTCCCTGATGATGCTGTAGAACGGCGAAAGCTCGGAGTGAATAAAGAAAGAACCACGGTAGCACTTAAAGGCTTCATTTGATCAATATCCCACAGAATGGACTGTTTTTTGTGTTGTTATTGTTGTTTTTTTTAGCAAAGACCCACGCCTGTATTTCTTTGATTTACTTTGTGAAATATGGCTTTAGGCAAGTTAAGTTGAACAAAAAGAAATTTATATAAACTTACACTGAAGATAAACAAGCTACATAATTGGAAAACGCACATTTTTATTTTGCACTGTCAAAGAAACGTGAGACGGTTGTTGATAAACTAAAAAGAAAAGCAATTAATCACAATTTCAATTGTTGATTTACCACGAAAGCGAAAGATTAAAAACAGAAAAAAAACACTGAAACGTAAACGATTGATCATAGCCTCAGGTCCAGGCCTCTTAAAGATTTAAGAAAATTTGGTCGCCACTGTCAAAGTAAAAAAGAGGGTCTGGATGGGGTTTAGTGTCAAGTGTTATTTGGCCGTTTTTTTTAATGTTTAGTGTTAAAATGGGTAAAATTTTAATGTTAAGCGTTTAAAAAAAGTTTAGTGTTAAGTGTTAAAAGGTATTAGAACAGCGATTTCACTCAATAAAGGTCAATAAAAGTTTTACAGAGAAAGCAATAATATTAGAAAAAAGGACTAAGATTTGTTCAAACTTAGCTCTTATGATAAAGGCGTGTAAAGTAGAAACAAAAGGAGAAGAGTCTGCGCAGAACTAACCGAACTGGTCAGCATGCATACTTTGTACTCATGCGCATAAGTTCTGTAGACATTCTGTGGTCAGCGGTTTTTCAGCAGACTTCTGCATGCAAAATGGCCGCCTTGTCCGCATCGGCGGGAATTGCGGAAGTATTGATCAGCTTTTATAGATGTGGCGAGGAAGATGCTTTTGAGAGACATCGCAGTAGAATTCCAATCGGTATAGACCAAAGAAATCTAACGGACGCCAGGAAGCATATGATCAACTTTCTTGGTATTTCGCAAATGGCTACGTCGCTGGGTATGGGAAATTTCGAGCTGAAACTGTACCGGCTGGCCAGGAGTGCTCACGGGAAAACGAAGAATTTACGTATCCTTACGCAACAACAGTGGGAGATGGAAGTGCCACTCCTTGTTTCTGACGAAACCCAAAGTGAACTCAATAGTAAGTAGACAACTGATCTGTCGAATTCATAAAGTGCAGGAAAAAGTTTTGAACTAATGATAAATATAACCACAACATATGTATTAGAAAATTGGGGGTTACAAATTATCCTTATTCGATCTTAGAAAAGGATAATTACTTTGAAGGTTATAAGTATGAAATACTAAAGTAAAATTTCCTCTTTTTCATCTTTTTTAAGTACATGTGGTACAGAAAATAATTAATTGGTCAGACAAGAAAATGGTGCTTGTACCGGGTGTGAAGCAAACTCCTAAAGAACCTCTTGGTACTTCAACAAGTTCTTCAGAAGATAAAGATCCAGAAATTGCCATCATAGACAATGAGCCTGGAGCATCAGATTCTGCGAGAAATAGAAGTAGGAAAAGAAGACAAGAATGTCTGGAAGATAAAGAACTAGTTCAAAATATTTTGCGAGACAATAAAGTTGTGAGAAATGTGCGTCAGAGGCATGAATTAGATGAGCTTCAAGCAGGTAAATTTTAATGAAATAGGTGGTTTTTGAATTTCTACTTTTACTTGTACTTTTACCTTTACTTATGTGTTTACTTTTATCTCGCTTAGACTTAGGGAAGCTTGCTGGAAGCTCAGCTCTTAATGAGGTGAAATTTACTTGTGGAGTCTGCAAGAAACCGTATTTTATCAGTACTAAGTCCAGCAGAACCACCCAAGGGAAGGTCAATTACTTCCAAATCAGTAAGTTTAAACAAATATTTTTAATTTACCAATATCATTACTGCAGATCACATGTTTCAGTACTCAGAATAAGAAAAAATAATAATTCCGAGTGTATTTAGGTGATAGTAACTCTGGTCTTTTGTATTCAGCTGATCTTCTAAAAGACTAATGAATGTTTATAATTAAGTTGAACTTCCCTTATCACTTTTTCAATAATCCCCATGGTGGAGAAATGTAAACCTAGGAATACACTGTTCACCTTTGCTAAAAATTTGTCCTTTGTAGCACATTTCAATAAGTGCCAAAGAAATTACGAGAAAGCACAGCGTTTAGTGAAAAACAACCACACCCTGGACAGCCTTTGGAAAAAAGGAAATTGTGAACGACTTTCTTCAGCATCAAGCAGCAATTCCATGTCACAAGATGAGCAGGAGGACTTTACTGGTGCTGATGCCATAGAAACAGGCTCTGACAAGTAAAAACCTTACTGAAGAATATATTGTTGTATAAAATAACTTTTTTTTGGATGAAAATCTAGATTATTATAGAACTCATGCATAGACATGTCATTACCATGTACCAATAGATAATATTTGTTGTACACACAAAGATTGTTTAGCTTTTTCCTTAGATCTCAAAACCAATGTCTTTGACCAGCATTTGTAGTACTGCTGATAGAGTCTTAATGCATAGTTTTTGTTGATATTTTGAACTTAATGAAATAAAGCAGTTTATGTTTTTCAAATTGATGTTTGCACGTGTGTTTCATGTGTAAGAAGAAAATCATATTTTGCCAAAATATAATTGCATGGCAGTTAGCAAATAGTGGAACTACTAAAAACAATTGGCATTTGTATCATGATACCAAAAATCCATTACAAAGCTTAATATCTGGAGCATTCTCCATTGCTTGTAGTGTCCCAATGTTATATATGTTCTTCTTTGTTCCCCTTTTGAAATTCCTGATACTGGCTGATACTGTGAACACAATGAACAATGACCAGAAATGAATCTATATGTTGCGAAAACTATAATACATGTATGTGATAATTTCCTTATACAGTGATAGTGTTTACCTAAACGAAGATTTGGAAGAATCCGCAGACTTGTCTCAAAGCCATGATGAGACTGTCAGTTCATGTATTGAATCATGGGATGAAGAAACACATTGTGCTTTTGATGAAGCTGGCTATGTTGACCAGAAAGATTCAACACAGGATCCGGAGGGTCATGTGATAAGCGATGCGAACGTGGATGATGACTTGACATGTTTTAACTTGTGAGTGTTTATGTAACTAGAAAGATGGAGGACAGATGGTCCATTTGTGTTTGATCTTGTAGTTTCTATTGGCTCCAACTCTAAGCTTGCGAGTTTTGTTGAGGTTGCTTACGTAATGGGGAAATGTTGTTGCACTATAATTTATGAGAATTGACAAATTGTTAGCATTGGTCTGTGTGTGGTCTTTGCGCATTTAGACGTTTGTGTACGTTTATTCTTCTAGGTGTGTGGAGAATGCCCATCCAGTTGCTATTAAACTCAACCAACTTCTTGAGAAAGGAAAGATCCCGGAAGACTGTCTCTACTACAAATTTATTGACAACACTACATCTTTCGCTCTAGTTGATCCTAAGTCTGCTTCAGATTTCACATGGGACCGAGATGTGTGCGAGTTTTTTGACACTATCAAGTATCTCGGAGGTAGTCGGACACGAAATTTTGTGAGAGGGCCTGGTTTCTTTGGAACTGGGAGAGGGGGACTGAAAGAATTCAACACATTTTCTGATTTCAATCTTTGCGGTCCGTCAACAAATTCGTCAAAACGCTTTCAAGCTGGTTATACTACAGCCAGTGGGGTGATAAAACCGCATCTATTGTCCTTGTATTCCTTTGCCTTCAATCGACAAGCTGATTTGCCAGCGCTTGTTTCTACAGACAAGTTGAACGTTATACCATTGTCACAAGCTATTGATGGAACTGCATTAAAACCTGGCCTAGAATATGATTCACTTCAGAAAATGGTGGTTGGGCTAACAACTCAAATAGACCAAAATAATTTCAGCAGCAACTCCATTTCTGATCCTGAGGAAATAAAAAAAAAGCTCTTAACAAGCGCCGAAGTGGTCGTAGGTACATCACTGGACAACGGCTCATCAATTCCAGTTGGTGTGTACTATCGCCCCAAATCAGTAACTGGTGAAGAAATCCTCAAATCTATACAAGACACAGCTAAGACCTTGCAAACTTGCCAAATGTGTTTGAAGCTCCAGGCGTCTGTAAGTCAAATTGTATCAAATGACATGCCCTCTTGCTTTAGCAGCTGTGATGAGTGTCTTAAGCTCAAATCTGTTTGCTCAGCCTGTAAACAAAATGGCCAGGTCTCACACATTCCTTCCTTAAGGGCTTGTAACCGGTGTTTAGAAAAAGGACTAAAGTGTAACAGGTTTCTTGCTGCAACGGTAATTACCGATTGTGAAGAGTGTAACAAGAAGGCGTTGTCAAATCTACACTCTATGGCCGAAGATGGTACATTACCTATTGAACTTTCGCTTCTTGTCGCCCTGCCAGATGTGGTTCATCTTGGCAAGAGTATGAAATGCAGCTGGGCCAACTGGTTCATTGATCTTGAGGGCGCGAAGAGTAGTCTAGTTCTAATTCGAACACTCCGCGATTCTGCTGGCCCTGATGTACGTAAGAAGTTACGAAAAATGCTGACCCTGGACTGCGTAAGGAATAAAGATCGGATGGCTGTAGAACCTATCGTGCGCCTTACTAGAACCTCGGTACTAGAGGTACTGAGAGGAATAAGTTTGGTCGTCCACACAATAGTTCCAGAAAAGTATCGCTTTTGGAAATCCAATCAGAGTGGGATATGCAAAAGACCCATTGCGATTGAAAGTGGGGCTCAAGGAAAAGTGCTTGTGTTAGACTATGACTTCGAATCTCAAGAGGCTCGTCTCGTGGAATTACGTTTGCATCAACCAGTTGATGTTCACGTTCGGAAAGAGACATTCAAGGATGCAAGGGACCTTTGTTTTACCAGTGGTATAGTTTTCGTTTCTGAAAGAGGATCTGGGGCAATCCGTGTTATTGACTTGGAAGGCAAAGTACGTTTAAAGCCGGAGGGCCTGAAATCGCGAGCAGAACTACTTTCACAGCTGAGTCGTTTTAGTTTATCACAGGATGGCACAGTGCCAATTCTTCGGAAGCGACTCGCGACACATTTAAAAGCTTTAGCTGCACAAGTTAAGAACCCAGAAATCATCCAGCTTAACACGCCTTTAGTAAAACCAACGTCAATTTGTGTGGCGAGTACAGACATCCTTTTGTGTGCGGATGACGAGCACCAAAGGATTATTCAGTTGGAAGTAAGCTGCAATGGAGTTGCTGTCGTTGGTACTAGCATGCGAGAAATACATTATCCCGATGGCGTTTCCAGTATTGAATCTCTTTGTGTGTGGAGAGGGTCCGCATACTTGGCTGCATCTGGTAATGCAGGTGGGTTATACGATTGTGACCTGGCAAATTCAAACGTCAAACAGCTCCTGCAGAATTCGTCCGATTCATGCAGTGAAATCAAGAGGCTGTGTCATTATGGCGACGTAATTGTGTTCACTGACATCGTAGATAGGAAAGTCAAGACCTTCGATCCGAAAACCTCAACTGTTAAAACATTGATGGGCACTGGAAAAGAAGGAACTAATGATGGAACTGGTGAAACCTGTACCTTTGCGCAAGTCCACGGAATATGCAGTTTCCAGAATACTATATTGGTGTCGGACGTAGCTGCTGGAACGGTAAAAATAGTTTCACCGCTTACTGGGACAGTGTCCTTTCTTCAAGCCCTTGGGAAGCTGTACGACAGTTTTGGAATTGGTGCTCATACCGTAGACGCAGTATCACTATCCCTTCAAGATGCTGTGAACAATGTTTCATCAGTGAACGAATATATTAAAAGCACAGTTGCTACAGTTAAACAGCACTACAACATGAAAGAAGCAGCAGCAACAAATGGTCCCCAAGGAACTGTGTCAAAGAAAACTCAAGTCTCGTTAGAACTCCTTGAACAAGGTATGGCACGACTGCAAAATAACTTGAAGAACATAAATGAGGATTATGTTGGTGACGTTGACCTCCGTACATTACTGACCACTATAGTTGAAAACCTTCATGCAGTCTCCCACTTCAAAAACGAGACTTTTACAGCTTTACAGTATGCTCGAGACTTTGGAACAATTGCAAAAGAATCATTAAAAAGAACAACAAAATGGAGTGCCAAATACTTTACACATGACAAATCGTTTTATCCAGTTCCAACATCTAGTATGGAGTTGGCAGATGTTGAAGTGATGAAGTCTCCAACAGCTGCAAGGATAGATCCTCTAATTGAAGTAGCGATGAAGGAGTTGGTGGATAAATTTCGTCCCGTGAGGCAGAGAACAGTGCGCAGTGAAACCACAAAAGACAAAGCCGGAGCTCTCCCACCAGCAGTGTATTACACTCAACCTCCTCATACCAAAGTAATGTTCCACAACGACCCAACTGTTGAAGGAGAAGTAATGGAACAAATTACTCCGCATATCATAGATGACGATGGGGACTCGCACGCACCCAGTATCACGTTTGTGGACGATAGCACTATTGAAATAGTTGCTGTTGTTGAAGTGCCAGATCAAGAGGATGAATACGACACCGACTCAGGCACCGATGTGGATGATGACGATCACGACTCCTACCCCCACACAACAACACTCACCAGGTCCGGGCGCGCCATTCGCGCTCATTTTCGCCTTGACTTGTAGAGTTTGCACTATCGGGTCTGCGCATATACATTACCTTGTGATGAATCTGTGATCAAGAGTTAATTGCATAACAACCCGTAAATAGCGCCACCTTGGACCCTGGAAAGCAAACGATGAAGAGGTAGACCTAAAGAGACTTGGAGACAAACCGTAAAGAAGGAAAGGGGGAGTTTAGATTCAAGGCTTGCTTGCTGCTAATACATGTGCTAAGAAACAAGAGGATGGCTAGTGAGGATGCAACAGCCTTTTCCCGGTAGGTAAAAGGAGCATGATGATGATTAAATAAACAAATTGTTCAAATGAAAGTTTGCGAAAGTGTGATAACGACAGAGGAAAATTTTAATTGTTAAGCATAATGTACCCTTCTGCAGAGAAATAGTCTCCAATGATTTTCCATGATAGAGACATAAACAATGAACAACACAAAATTGCAATCAAAATGACACAGTATGTAAATCAATTGTAGCTGATTCCATATTGAATGCCCGCGTTTATCGTTATCAGTATCCGGCGCATTCTTTAGCCGTTTCTCGTTACATTTGTATCAATTTTAGTGTTTCAGAGAATTTTTTAGTGTTAGATGTTAAACAGCCCAAAATTTTAATGTTTGATGTTATAGAAGGTAAAATTTTAGTGTTTAGTGTTTTCGAGATACCCCCATCCAGACCATGAATGAATATGTAAAATAAAGACAACCGTATTCCGCTGAAACATGTTCTAAGATTGTAAAAAATTACTTTATCTGCGAAAACAAAATTTCTGTTTGTCACAAGGCCAGGCCAGAGGCCTTAACATTTAACCGTTAGGCGTAAAAGTTGGCAAATTTTAACCGTTACTGAATCGTTAAAAAAGTTAAAAACAATCCTGTAGTGGTGCGCCTAAATCAAAGTTTCCAGGTAGTTGCTGTCCTAAGGCGGGCAGAAATACTTTTTAAAGGAAAGATATATCGCACTTCGAAAGTTATGATGAATTTTTCAAAAACGAAAAGAGCATGGGTTGTGCGGTAAACAAGTGAATTCTTTAAGGTCGCTGGATTTACAACAAACACAGCTGTCATCCAAACTGCATCTCAAGTGTCAATATCCATCCCCGCTTTGACTGGTATATTTTTTCTTCCTCTTTTTTCTTTAATTCTGGTGCATTTTCAACCATGATTGAAAAAATTTCGCGCTATAGCTCTTTCTCCCACCCAAATCACCCAAATGTCAGTCTATGAAATTTCTCTTACAGAAAAGGATGAGCCGATGCTAATGACGGTATGATTCTGCATTGTAATTGTACTGTGCATGTGCTACGTGTACGAAGTTTTCGCTCAACAATGCAAGGAGGATGAGCATGCCATTTCCGGTATGATGCTGCGAGGAAACACCTTCAGGACAATGAGATCATCGATTGCATTTGAATGCCATCAGGCATGTTACAATGATTTCAGGTGTCACAGCTTCAACTACGTCATTTCAGAGGAAGTATGTGAACTAAACAACCGGAGTAATAAGAAAAGAGGTGAGATTGAACGAGAAGCAGCCTTAGCGCTGGTGTTCATTGAAGTAATTTGAACCTGATAAAACTATTCTCTGTCTTCAGTTCCTCTTGGCTCCATTCCTGAATTTCCAAAACATACACTGAATAACCCAGTCCAAGCAAGATACATTCGATTCTATCCGGTCACCTTTTCTGGGTACCCTTGTATGAGGATCGAGGTGTTCGTGCGATAAAGAAGAAGATCAACAACAGGGCAATTTTTCTGCATGAACCCTCCTTGGTCTTGTATAATGGAATGGTACAAGTGTTGGTGAATGCTTTAAACAGCCAGACGTGGTATAACTGTGGAAGTATTGAAAAGTTTTCAACCGTTTCTTGCGTAGTTTACGGGCCGTTTCCCGAAGGTTCCGATAACTTAACTGGCCGCGAGCTGTTCTGTTTTTATTCAAGATGGGGGTTTTGAAAATTATACAATTAACATGTAAGCTACAGAAACAAAATGGACTGATTAGAGTATCAGAACCTGCTGTGCTAATCTTAAAATTCTGATTAAAAAATATTGCCACGGGTCCGTTAACGGAACTTTTGAGAAATAGGCCCCTGGACCCGAACCGAATGTGTGCATGAAACGCAAGTCGCGTGTATTACAGTGACAGTTGTTGTTTTAAGTTAATATTAAGTAAACATGAGAATTAATGTTCTTGTCATCTCAAATAAAAGATTTTTTATTAGCTTTAAAAGTTCCTCACTCAAGCAAGTAATTTATTATGATTTCTGTAAAAAACTATCTTCCCTTGTCGTTACGGAAAAGGATCGAAAGGAAAAACGAAAATATGATGTATTCGCAAGCAATGGACACAATTCTCAGTTTTAGGAATTAGAACCGGTTAGGAAAAAAAACATGTTCTATTATGTTTCATGCCCTTGAAAATATGTATATTTTGACTCAATTTAGTGGTTGATATTAATTTGTTTAAAAAGTCTCGAAGATGACTGGCAGTATAGTTTGGACGAGTGACAGAACATGTAAGCTTCTCTTGTAGCATTGAAAATAACTTAGAAATAATTTTAAACGCACGGAAGCTACCTGCTTCTCATTTATGTCAATCATTTGCCATCGCCAAGAATTTTCTTATTACCACCATTGAAAGGACGAAGGGGAGATAGAGATGCGGAGGCGAGGCGTCATGGCTGACGGTCACTCATTTCGACTCTCCGGTTTTCTTTGTTTTATTCTCAGTTTAATTCTTCTATATCGCGGAAAAACGACTGATCAGGGCCAATCTCAAATGTTCCCGCGTTTAGCTGACGATTTCTTCTTGGTTCTACAAGATGATTTTGTAGTTTCAATGAACTTAAATATCTTCACAGCGTCCTGGACTAGGCGACATATTGTTTTGCCAATCCTTCGAAGAGGTTTTTCTTCGTCAAGAATCAGTTATTATCCTAACTCTGTTGCAAGTTACCAAACTATTCTTCTCCAGTTGAGCGGCGACGTAAACCCAAATCCTGGTCCAAATGGAGCCGAGCGGCACAATTTTACGGAACAGCAAAAGTCCTCTCGTCTTCTAACCTTTTATGCTAATGCACGAAGCATCGTCAACAAATCAAGCAAATTGGATTTAGCCATTGCCGCTCTGGGCTATGATATAATTGTTTTAACTGAAACTCATCTGGACAGCTCCATCCCTGACGGTGAAATCTTTCCTAGTAACTACTCGGTATTTAGGCGGGACCGAAAGCTCAATGGACGTCATGGAGGCGGGGTATTGATTGCTACGCGAGAACACATCAAAGCGGTTCCCCGTGATACTACACAGAACGATTCAGAGTTCATCTTCGTCGATCTTCTTTTCTCATACAATCGCAAAGTCACTTTGGGAGTTTTCTATCGTCCTCCCAATAACGATCCTAAGCCTTTAGAGGACTTACAAGCTGCTTTGCAAGAGTTTTCGACGAACGAGTTGATTCTTGTTGGCGATTTCAATCTTCCGGAGATTGATTGGTTGAATAACAGATTCTTGCGTCAATCTGATATTTACACACTCATGATGGACATCGTCCAAGACAATTTTTTGACACAGTTGATAAATGAACCTACCAGAGACTCGAACATCCTAGACTTAGTTCTCACTACTTCGCCCGACCTCGTAAACCATTTGGTTGTTGGAGAACCCTTTTCAGATCACAATTCTATCTCCTTCTCGTTATCTGGTATACCTTACGTCCAGCGTAAATCACAGAAGTTGTTGTATTGCTATGGTAAAGCCGACTGGGATCACTTAAGATCGCTGTTATCTTATATTCCATGGCATTGCGCCTTCTTCGACAGCGATATTAATCATAATTGGGCTTGCTGGAAAGACTTGTTATTTACAGCAGTGGATGAGTGCATTCCCAAACGCAAGAATAAAAAGAGATCCAGTGCCCCCTGGATTACACAGGAACTTATTGTTTTGTGCAAAAAGAAGAAATTATTGTATAATAGAGCTCGCAGAAAAAACAATTCAACTATTTGGGAAAAATATCGGCAACTCAACAATTCTGTTAAGAGACTTTGTAACACAGCTAGATGGTCGTATATAGAGAAACTTGCACTTGATCTACAGGAAAATGAAAACCCGAAACCTTTCTGGAATTTTGTTAAGTCCAAGAGAAGAGGCACTAATAATCTCATCTCTATAAGCGTCGATGGATGTGCTCTGACTGACGACTTCAGTATTGCTCAGAGTATGAACTCATATTTCTCTTCGGTGTTTACTACCGAAGATTATGCAAATTTTCCCACTCAAGACTGCACTGTTGACAAGAAACTTGCGAAAATTGATTGTTCTGTCAATGAGGTCAAACGCCATCTTCTGAAACTCAAGCCCAACAAGTCTCCTGGGCCTGACCATATCGCGCCGTGCATTTTTAAGTCGTGTGCTTCGGAATTAGCACCTTCGTTAACGTATATGATAAACAAATCGTTGTCTCTTGGCCTTTTGCCTGAGGAATGGAAACATGCCGACATTACTCCTCTACATAAGAAGGGTTCCAAATCTTCGAGAGAAAATTACCGCCCAATTTCCCTTACTTCAATTGCTTGTAAGATCTGTGAAAAAATTGTTTTTGATAGGATGATTAAGTTCTGGCGCGAAATCGACTTTATCAATAGCAACCAATTTGGCTTTTTACGAGGAAGATCTACTACAACTCAAATGTTATCAACGTTTAATGACTGGGCGAAATCCCGTAATTCATCCACTCCTACCGATGTTGTTTTTCTGGATCTTGCCAAAGCCTTTGACAGCGTTCCTCACGAGCGACTGCTTTTAAAATTGAAATGTAGCGGCATCGACGAATGTTTACTCAACTGGCTGAGACATTTTTTGGTGGGGCGCAAACAACGTGTAGTCGTTAGGGGATCTTATTCTGATTGGTCGTGCGTTACCTCCGGAACTCCACAGGGAACCATTCTCGGGCCCCTATTGTTTTTATTGTATATTAATGACATATCTGAATTCCTATCATCTACAGTAAAACTATATGCAGACGACACGAAGATCTACAGAGAGATAATTGACCCTATAAAAGATAGTCAGCTTCTTCAGGATGATCTTAATAATCTTAGCGCATGGGCTCGTAAGTGGCAGCTACGTTTCAACGCAGACAAATGCGAATCTATGCGAATCACGCATTTACGCGATAAGTCGGTAACTAATTATTTCTTAGAAAAGCCCCTGAAAGATGTGACTAATTTTAAAGATCTTGGTGTCACACTAAC